CTCTGCAGTGTTCCATTCAGAAAGACTTAGCTCAGATCTGAATTCATATGAGGCTTCCTCTGCAGTCAGTGATGAGAGATCCTGCCTTAGGGAACTGCAGTTCTGAACTGCTCTGACTCATCATTCAGAGGAACTTGTTGCTTTCTGCTGAGTGTGACTAGAGCAGAAAATTCAGCCACCCCAACTAATGCCTCTGTGTAGAGGGAGTAAATCCAAACCTTAACAAGTCCTAAAGTTTTTCTCTGAGTGGGAAGTGGAGCTTTTCCTTTTGTACTTACAACACTGAATAATAACAGACAACATAATATTTCAATGCCAGCAATTTCTGACTCAGATATAAGACACTGTCATTGACTTTTAAGTCCCCCAAATGGATATTCCTTTCTCGTGCATTGTATACTCTGGGCACTCTGGAAATCTGTTGGGGCTATTTTTTCTGGGGTTTTGTGTGGGGTATTTTAGTTTTGTATTTTGTCTTTTTCTTTTTTTTCTTGTTTTTACTTCACAGTTTGCTTTATAAAATCCTTCATCAAGCACAAGAGAGTCTGTGAAAACAGCAAGGGGAATGTTAACATAAAACATGCTCATAGTTAAGGCCAACTCTACCATTTTTATTAAACAGAAGTTGTGGTAGTTAGTATGGCTCTTGGCATATTAAATATTTCTGGACCATTCCTTGTTCAACAGCTTGTTGTAGAGATCAGCTAGTCCCTGAAAGATACCCTGGAGATGTGCTCTTTTCTATTTATGGGTTGGGGGTTACAAGGGTAAGGATATGAGTTCCTTTGATTGCACTGGAGTGGCTGGGGAGCATCACTGCTGTCATTCCATGCCTTATAATTTAAACCAGTAATACCTTCTTAGTAGCTGTACACACTCCATCAACAAAGTCTCTTTAGATCATTTTCTTGCACTGCATTTATTCATTACTGACCAGCAGTAGTTTCACTGCATTAGGCTCTGCAGTTCTGTGAGAATTGCCAGAAAAGATTCGGGAAAAACATAACCCGGAAATTCAGCGATCAGCGCTGTCCATACTGGTAGGTTAGTCCTTCCCCACTAACCACACTTTTACTTGCAGGGCAATTGTACTAAACTGGAAAACAAAACATATATATTTACAATAACTAATGTATGTTTTTATCTTCCTTGTCCTTTTTTTGTTGAGACAGTTCTGGATCAGTTACCTGCAGGCACACTGACAAACAATGTTTAAGAAATTACCATACTGGGTACATAGATAGATAGATAGATAGATAGATAGATAGATAGATAGATAGATAGATAGATAGATTTATAAATGGATATACTGTTGGTATGTGTATGTTTATGTATATGTAACATGTTTTATTGTCACACTGGCTGACTGAATCTGTTCAATAACAAGATATGAAATAATTCTAGTCAAAAAGCAATGCCTTGTCACCACTCAGTATCATGATATGACACATTATTTCAGTCATATTTCAGCTGTTTGAAAGCAAATCTCTGGAGCCTTGAAGTGGCAGATCATGGGAAGTCACAATAACTTTTTTGTTCATTTCCAGGACTGAACTGTAATTTTTCTGGCTAAGTCTTGCCATCTATCACACCATGTCCTGCAGGAAAACATGTGTTTTAAGGAGTCAGAAGCATTATCTCCTACCATGCAAGGCATTTACTAGGTGAAACAATTCATGTTATACCATGAGCCAGCAGTCAGTTGTTGTCTTTATGAGTTTGTGGAATTTCAAGACCTAAACAGTCTAATTTTCAGAAGTTTTATTATGGATTATAAAGAAGCATCAGTGAGATATAAACCTAGAGTTTAATAACCCATAAAACATGCTACAGCAAGGTTTTTAGCTACGACAATCCATAAAAAAGGTTTGAACTACATTGTAATGGTCTTTTGGGCTGCCAGTGCAACTAATGAAGGGTTTTAGACAATAAATTGGACTAATTGTTGAGTTACAAAGGCCTTTCTTTGTTCTTTTGGTGATGGGGTTTTTTGTTGGCTTGTTTTTTGCTTTTTGTTTTTTGTTTTTTTTTTTTTTTTCCTTTTTGCATTTATACAGACTTTCCTCCCACCTGGCAATCTTGCTTTGTCATGAATTCCTGTCTTTGATTCTATAATAGCCCTCATAAAACTGAAACATTTAGCATTTGGTGAATACACAGGGTTTTTTGCTGTCGATGGCTCAGGCATTTGCTGATTCACTGCAGTACCATTCTTTTTATTCAATTAACTGCAAACTCCAAGAAGCAGCAAAATTATTAACTGATCAGGATTTTTCTGAGAACAGTGTGGTTTCTTTCTAGCTGACAGCTACTGTGCAAAAAGGGCCACACTCCCACAGTCTCCTAAATCTCTGAGCAGAACCTTGGTCTTTGCTGTCTCCAGGAAGACTCATCTTGCTGCCTAGTCATTTCTCAGGAGCACACAGGTCTTCAGGTGTAATTTAGGTGGACAGGACTTAAAACACCAGAAGCATAGCCCAAATTTTTTGACCAGAAACTAACACTTTGGAAAATGATCAAGTACACTTTGAAAATGAAGAGGTGAAATTTTACCCTGAAATATTGACATTGACTTCTCATCTCATCTTTTGCTGTTGTGGCATCTCAGGGAGTAATTTTGGTGCAAATGCTGCAGACCAGTGACTAGCATGATCAGATACCTATCACCAGTCATGCTGCTTCCTAGGTTTTCAAAAAGGGGGTGAAAAGTATATAGAAAAGAGTCTATTCCTCTGTTGCCTTTATTTATTGTTGGTTTCTAGATAGAGGTAGCTTGACTTCAGCACCCAAAAAGCTGTTTGGGCAAGCTGCCCTATTTGTGACAGGTTAGACTTCTTATAGCATGTTTATCAAAACTCCTTGGGGCTTCAGACTAAGCATGATACATTTATTTGGCACTTTACAGTGATGTATTTATTGTCATAATTACTGGCCCGTACATTTGGGAACTTACAGTACATGTCTCCTCATTGCATTTTAACTGAAATACAAAAACACTGTGGGATTTACATGTCATGCCTCTTATTTCAAATGTTTTATTCCACAAACACGAAGAGGAGGATGGATCATCTCTGACTTATGCTGACCTGGTTCTCCACTCATTCTTGTATGCTACACACCAATATCAGTAGAGTTACAGTGACATAAACCAGAAGAATACAGTCAAAAATCAGATCCGTCCTACACCAAATCACTTTCCACATCTGTTTCCTATTTGTCTTAAAATGACACATGGGATTATCTTGGGAAGATATTCTGCTTTCACTGTCATGCCACTGACTTTACAGCCTTATCAAATATCCATTGGTGTGCAGGTTGAGCAGTTATCATCTACTAAGAAAAAATGACACGAAAATGTAGATTGATAATATTTTTCAATAATGGCTTGTAGTATTAATGCGATTTTGTATTATTGCAGTTCAGGTCTAGCATTCTTCTCAATTCACTGTTTTTATTTATTGTGTAAGATCTAAGTATGGACCCTACAGTAGAATCTCAAAAATATTTTTCTTTTTGATTATTTATTCATTTCTGATTAGAAGGAGCAAAGTGAGAAAACTGGAGAGATGCAAGGAATGTGCCTGTGCTATTAAGAAATAGAAAGAAAGGGAAAGAAAGACATTTAATACTGTGTAAGATATTACATATACAGGATGACTATAAATATAATCAGGCAGGCTACATGTACAATAACATGCCTTAGGAGATTGAACTTGAATTCTGGGATCAAACTTCATGATGTCCAACCTTTTAATCTTACAGTGCAGTTAGCCCCTCCAGGTGACTATCCTGCTAACAGTCCATTTTCCCTTCACCTTTTTCTTCAGTAAATGGACTGAAATGTGAAATCCATCTGATGTTCCTTTGAAAATATGTAATAAATGCACAGAGATATGTGCTAGCATGATGGAATTGAACAAGCTGTAATAAAAGATATAGCCTGTGACTGACTTACAGAAACATGGACTCCATAGGTTTGAAATAACATCATTTGTTGGTCATTAGTTTGGCCCATGCCTGGGCTCAGTATGGATGAGCAAGATAGGGAACACAGGGTACCAAGGAGAATGCTGCTTCCAAGGTGGAGATCAGTCTCCTCTCTTTGAGGCTCTGTGACTTAATTAGGTGTCAATGCAAATTAACCACAGTGCAGGGAGGAAATGGAAATTTCAGGTTTTGTTGTGGCCTCCACAAGTCTTCTGTGAATGTAGAAGTCTTCTGTGCAAAAAGCATCAATTCTTCTGGTTTTACCCTCAGTCCAAAACATAAGATAAACACAGTATTCAAATTGATTGGCAGACTTGGTCTTCTAGTTTAAATTAAAGTAATTAAATGTACCTAAAAGCCCATTGCTTTGGATTTACTGACCTCCATTTGACTTAGTGTTGACTGAGGCCCTTCTTAATCTCAGTTTAAATCCCCATATGCTTTGGCCTCAGCTTGTATATTTTAAAAGTTTTGTTGCATGGTTCTGAATAATAATAATGATAAAAAGCTCTCCTGATGCAGTTAAAATTGAATTTCAGGATACATGAAATAGAAAGTCACTGATTCTCAGGCTAGGAAAAGCAGAATTTAGCATCATGTTATGTGGCGGGATATCTCAGAAAAGTAGAGTCAGGGAAAAAATAGATTTTTTTTTTTTTTCAGATAAAAGTTTCAAATTCCTGCTTCATCAGGAATTACTATTACTCAAATGTATTCTAAATGAAAGCAAAACAATTTCAATAAATCCGTGTGAATTATATGTGAAGTAGAACAGAAGAAACACAAGCTGTGCATGTGTATTTGTGCCTTTGACTAGCCTTCAGCACATACTGATTAGGAAGTGGGCACTTCTAGCAGATCCTCACTCATTGTAATTTGACTTTCTTAAGCCACAAACCCAGTATGAATCACATAAACAGCACTCTCTGCACTCTGTGGTGTTCAACTTGCTTACTAGTGTACTTTCATCAAATAATGTTGGTTTTGTTTGGTTTTTTTTTTTACCCCCACAGGACAATATCTTTAGAATGGAAGATTCACATTTTGAAAATGGGCGGGGGAAAAGCCCTTATGATCCCAAACTGCTGACAGCTTCGCTTTTAGTAGGTAGGTGCCACATAACAAGTTCACTGAGATGTGCAGTCACTGTAAATAATTGCCAATTTTCTGCCTTTTTTTTTTTTTTTCCTCCTTGCAGCACCTATGACAGGCCTTTGTATTATGCAATTTATTTCTAGGTTAAGGTAATTCTGATTTCATTTTGAATACAGTTGACCTAAGTGTTTTGAAATGTAAACCAAGATTTGGGTATCACAAAAGCTGCTTTATACTCTTCAAGACCTTAATTCTGCAAAGTGTTTTTCCTCCTCACATCTAGATGGAGGCATTTTAATCACCCAGTTTATAGGCTGACCAAACTGGTGATCACACCAGCACAGCTGAGAGCAAAGTGAGAGCAGGAAGAAGTCATTCCTTACATCAGTTTTGCTGCCAAGGAAGGTTTATCACTCAATTGTAATGTGTGTGTGCTGGAGACACAAAAGCAGTCACAGGACTAGGCCCTCAGGTGATGTTTCAGCTGAAGAGAGCTGTCTGACAGTGAATACAATTACATTCCTGCCTAGAACAAAAGGATTTAAATAAATTAGGTGTTTCTGAATTGGTAATACTTCATTTCATGGAATATGTAAATATAGAGCAACTGGACTGTGTCAATCTAATTGAACTAATTCAATTAATTGAATTTATCTAATTGATTTAACTTATCTAACTGAATTAATTATGTTCATTGTTATTCCTTCCTCTTCTCAGAAAAAGGCAAAAAGATGTTTTGTGAGAATAAATTAGGAATGAAACAGATTATTCTTTCCATAACAGCTCTACCTAGGTGTAGCCACCTTATCCTTAAGAACAAACTTTCTCACAATTTATTATAACTTCAAATCCAACAATAGTTTCAGAAAATTGCAGATTCTGTTTATCTCAGAAGTCTTTGGGAAATGACACATAACCAAATAGATTGGTTTCTCCAGAACTTAGTTCATATTGTTAGTCTAGGGCTTTGCCTACTGTCTACCCTTATTATATTTACTTTGCATTTATAAATTAAACTATTCAAAATAGACAGCAACAGAAATTTAGTTGTAAGTGTGCCTCATTTCCTGAGGACACACACTTTTTAACAGGAAAAACAGGAAAGACATCCAGATCTTGCTCCAACTTGTACCCTGTACAAACAAAAAGGAAAAAAAAAATGTGTGTGTAAAAGGCCAGTGTATAAATTAGTGCCTGAAGCGACTTGAATTTGTGGCAGAGCTACTCTCAAGCGAATAGCTTTACTATTTACTTTGATATACAATAAAGAAAGAGAATGATGACAAGCCAGTATTACATGGTATAACCGGTATGCAACTGCACAAAGTCAACAGTGTCTAGCTTTTCAGATTCCTTTTTTTTTTTTTTTTTATGCTCAGTCCGGCACAAATATGATTATCTTATTTCCTTTGGCTTAGGTTTCATGTCTTTAAAACATCTTTGCTTTCTTGAGCCCACTTCCTATCACTATAATTTTCACTCCCTTCCTTCTAATAAAGAGTAGACAGGGCATGATCTTTTGGTTTGAATCAGGCTTCAGTGAGAGCCATTGGGTGTATTAACACAATGGAAAATGGTACAAATTCAATATTCAAAGCCAGTGACTAATTTCTACTTCAGTGACTTATACGAAACTCAGGGTGAGGCTAGAAGTAACATTCCAGTATCCTGACCACAAGCACCTTTTCTTCTCTGCCTCTTCAAAGTTGCCTCACAGTCATATTGTGTTACTGATTATTTACCTCAATCCTTTACTGCAGAGTGTATATTTCACAGTGTACATCAGGTTCACCACTGGTTCTCAATGTCTTACTTCTCTTTGCCAAAAAAAAAAACCCCACATTTTGTGGTAAAAAGATGATCCAAGGCAAAAGAATTTCCTCCCGTCAAAATAGGTGAGAAACAGGGAATGAACTGGCTAAGCACTGACTGCATGAAGAAGTTTGGTCCAACTGCTCTCTGAAGTAGGTAGCCCTGGAGTGAAGTAGGGAGAATGGCCATGAAGGCAAGAGGAGACTCTTGACCAGAAAGGTCTCACATCAGGAAGGACATGGATAGATTGCTTCTTCCAGAGCTGAACAATAACTCAGCTACTCCTGGCCCCTCATGTGCCAGAATATTTGTCCTCACAAGTGACAATGGTTTATCTAAGGTTTAAGAGGGCAGCTATGTAAAGCAATTAGCCAGCAGTCATTAAAATGCAGTGTTATAATTAGTAATACAAAGTAACTATCGGGAAGATAAAAGGCTGAGAAGAGTATATGATTAAATGCAGGAGGGATATATAACATCTCTTCTTCATGAGAAACACTAAACAGAGATTTTGCAAAGAGTGGGAGAAGAGTATGTTCTTGACACCATACTAGAGAGTACTTCTTAGGTAAGTGAAATGTAATCACCAAGAGGAATTTAGGCAAAACACCAAGGTTAATTTGCAAAAAGTAACTTCAGATCTTTAATAACCATTAGTGCCCAGGAGGCCTATTCTGCATTTCAACTGAAATAAACTCTAATAAGTGTAAAGAGGATCTTCAGTTTTCCCTCTCTCCTAGCAAAATCGATAGTATTTGAAAAGAAAAAAAAAATCCACACCAAAACAAAACCAAAATAAACAGTTCATCATTATTAAATTGTTCCAGTGTTTTGCCAGTATACATTCCTTGTTCAATCCACCTGCAAACATTTTTCATTGTTTTTTTAACAGTTGTTCATTAAAGTTAGCTATTGCTACCCTACTCTAAGGTAAATGCCATCTGAGAACATGATATAACCAGCTCCTAGTAATATAAGACACTATTCAACCATTCCCATCTATGTGCTGCTAACTAAACAATCTCTGTTTGAGTGGGCTAATGCATGAAAATGTGGAGACTAAGAAATCCCTGGGCACCACTAGTGATTATTCCAGTGCAGGAGGAAAACGAGAGGCAACTTGGTTTCCAAGAAATATAATCATGGGAGGAAATATCCCTGAATGTAATAGAGTAAAGCAATTGTATTGGGATAGTTGGAAAAAACCTTCAGAGAAGGAGACAGCATTTTCCCACTGTCAGTCAGTTTGTTTTTAGGAAATGACCCTTTGGGATTTTCAAAAGCTTTGGTGATCCAGAATCCTCCAAGCTGTTTATGTTCCTGTGTTCATTTATTTTTTTTTTTTCTTTTAGAGTTTATAATTTCTTTTACAAGTTATCAACTACTGCATTTTTCATTTTATAAAATCAGTTTAGGTAATTTAATACTCCCAAATATATATTAATGTGATCTGAAATACAGTAGCTTCTCACCAATTAAGAACTTTCGTATTAGATTTGTTAGAAATTAGATACCAAGTACATATGAGGTTCAGGATTTTAGAATTACTCTACTTCCTGGGAAGTTTTAGTTATTGTCTTTAAAGGAAGTGAAGCCCAACCACCTTTATATCTGAAAATCTCAACTTTAGTGAATAAACCTTTTACCCAAGTATAGATTTAATTTGTGAACCCTTTTACCAGTGAGAACAGTTGTGACATTCAAGGCTTGATTTTGCTTGTATTCCTCATTTGTTCAACTTCCTTATTACTTCCAAAGGAAAGTTTACACTTCTGTTCTCTCCATTTGTTAAAAATGTAATCCTCTTTAAGAGCTGAATAGAAACACTTTATCAAATAAATATTTATTGTTTAGTTTTTAACATCTGTATATCTCATGATCTTGGGAAGTTGTTTGCAGTTCCATGCTGATTACAAACAGTACAGGCAAAAATGGTTCCTTCCTTCCAAAAATCAGCATTACTATGGACTTTAATTGTTGCCTCTTTATTTAGTAAAATCAATATATGTATTTCTGTTTGCATTCATGTGTCAGCAGGCTAATCCTTTAGAATAAGGTGGTTCCTGTCCAAAACAGAGTTTTTCCCTATGCAAACAACTGAGGGTCATCAGCTAGTTCTGGACAGTTGTTGCTTTGTGCAGCCTGGCTGGAAATACAAAGTGACAAATTTTTATTGGGTTTTTTACCCTCCATTCTATCTCTTTGAGAAATGTTTGTCACTTTTCAAGTTATTAACTTCCACTTTCTTCTTAATTTAATGAAAACTTCTTTTAAAACATAGACATTAGAAATAACACAGTAAAGAGTGTCATGACATTGAAGAATCATTTTCCAGACCAGCAATGAGTAAATTTCAGTCCAAAAGAAAGTATACACAGGGAAACAAGTATGACTGTACTTCTATCTAGACAGGAGGCAAAATCCTCATATAGCTTTTGAACAGTACTAGCTGTAAGGATGTACACATCTGGGACATGACTTGAGGCTTACCCTGAATTTAGCAAAAATTACCTAAAGCCTTACAAAAAGTGGTATTCCTTGGTATTTCTGTCTGGAAGAAGTCAAATTCCCCTTTTTGCGTGACTACAGCAAATTAGGTCAAACTGCAGGCACTGGCCTAGGTGTGCAGAAACTTGGAGGGCTGTAGGAGAAAGGATAGAAAGGTCAGCTAGTTTTCTACAAACCCTTCCCCATATGGAATATGCTGAAGGCAGTTATTGGCAAAACTTCTATCCTGTCACCACTGATGAAAAAGTGTCAGCTGAGCTGAGTCCAGCCTAGAAAATATGTTAGTTCCAGTGGTGTTTGTAGACTGAGTTAGAAACTGAGGTGCCAAAAAACCTTACAATTCTAACTATTTCAAATATATAATTTTAATAAGTTTTTGCACTGTATTTGGTTTAATTTTAATAATATAGTGACAAATTTAGATTCTTTTTTTCTTGGTTGACTGACCTTTAGATCGGTTGATAACTAAAAAGAAAAGTAGACCTTGTTGGTTTTTTCTTTCCCCTTTGATTTATATTGATTTATCAGAACTCACTAGGGAATGAAAGACAAGAAAATGAAGATAAGGTTAAAGAAAGGTTAAGCATAGCATCAAAGCCCTTTTCACGGGCAAAAAAAGGTTTTATGATCTTTAAAATCTCAGCTTCAGACTCTGTACATAATAATCACTATAATTAAGTGATTGTCTCCCCTTCAAAAAAAAGTTGAAAATGACATAGAAGAATGATAAATCGTTAATTAATGATATGCTGTTCTGTTTCATTTCTGATTATACCTCCTGCTGGGCACAACTGGTCTATTTGCTTCTAATCTCTGCTGTGAATTCATTCAATTCCACGCCTTTCCGCTATCATGTTTTCACCCTTCCTGACTTTCATGGCTACCATATGGTATAGAGCCACTGTAGGTTCAATTTCATGGTGTCAGTGTTCTGGGGAAAAGATGCCAGTGATATCCAATAGACATGCTTGGATCTGGTTGTTCCACCATGGAAATATCTAAAATTGCCATGAAAATTATAAACTTGTTCCTAAAGGGTGTTTTAAAATGAGGGTATGGTAGAGTTCATCATGACCATGAAAAATTTATTACCTTAGCTAAAGAAAGTTATTTTATCCTCAAAATTGTCTTTTTTTCACAAGAGACCTGTGTAATATGGGTAGCTTGAAAATAGTAGTTGGAAGGAATAATACTTTTTAATTCCATATTAACAGTATAGGGTAAGGTATTTCCTTTCACATATATATGTAGAAGGACGCAGTCCTAAAAATGCATTTTTAGTATTTTGAATTCAGAGTAATTTCATGGACAAGCTCTACATTAATGCCAGCGAGGTATGTGTTATACTTTGATCCCTGGTTTTCTTCTGCAGGGTCTTGTTACAATGTAGTTACTATTATTGCTCTCTCTGCCAGCTGGCAGGTGTTTAACTCGACCTGCTTCTTTGCATTTAGACATTCTCTCTGTCTCCTCCATGGTACTTCTAGCTGGCTGAGGAGGGACGCACTGGGATGAGTTCTGTCTCCCTCTAGGTTGTCTACATGCCATTTATGGGCTGAAGTATCACAGGTGAATTTTGAGTTCATTTGTTCACTGTGAAATGCGTGGGGTCAAGGTAGCAGGGAATGATCTTGTTTATTCTCTCCCTTAACTGTTGCCCTTTACCAGTATCAGAGATTAAAAGAAAAAAAGATCAAAACCCCAAACCAACCAAACAGGAAGCCACACAGTTTCTGTATGAAAAATTGAAGAGACCTAAGGACTTTCTGAGGCAAAAGTGAATGAGCTGGACTGTTCGGTTCCCAGGGTCACAAAAAAACAGTGGGTTGGGGGGAACCTCTGGAGGCCTCCAGTCCAAATTCCAGTTATAAACAGGGCAATTTCACATTTAGGTAGGATTTTTGAGGCTGCATACTACTGCCTGCCAGGGTAAGGTGTACTGACTGCCACTGCTGCAGCCTGAGAATTCCAACGTTTTTGAAAAGTGACTGCACCAGCAGTCAGGAGATACAGCTCATTGGCAAGAGGTTACACTTAAGCTCTACAGTGAGAAAGTGGGTCTAATCATCTATTTTCAATGACAATACATTGCATATGGCTTGTTGCTTTGTAATTTTCTCATTATTCCTATTAGTGTAATATGAATGTAGGACCAGCAGCTTTCTCTGACTTACCATGACTGGAAAATTGAGGAATGTTGCTTACAATTATGTCCTCCCGCAGATGGAGAGCTCTACTCTGGCACAGCAGCAGACTTCATGGGCAGGGACTTTGCCATTTTCCGAACTCTGGGGCATCACCATCCCATCAGAACAGAGCAGCATGACTCCCGGTGGCTAAATGGTATGTAAAATGTGCATCTCTCTGGTTACATTCCTCTAGCCGTTAAAGACTAGCACACAGCTTCATTCCAGCACCATCTGTGACAAATACACCCCTCATTTATTTGGAGCAGAATTTTGTCTCACACTAGTAAAACTAATCAAAAGTGATTTATAAAGGAGCATTTTTGTTTTGATTACACTGGGATTTGTGGAGTGTGATTAAGTTTAAAACACATACAGATACTACAGGCAACACAGTCATGCAAGTTAGACAGAAGCCTGGGGCTTGTGGAGGCATCAGCCAGACATCAACACAAAGTAGCTCTAGACCCTTGGGCAGGACTGTGCTTTATACAGGCTTTAATTTTTTACTGGACTGAAGGAAATCTGATGCTGGCCACCAAAGTGCAGCAGAAAGTGAATCAGCAGAACTTCCTGAGCAAGTCAGAGTTAGGAAGAGTTTGGAAAAAGTGAAAGGGGTCTTGGGCATTCCAAGCATTCTGATTTCAAAATGTCCAATATTTGACAAGGCACAATAGCTTACATTATTGTATGGATATTAGTCATCAAGCCTGTGGTTGTTTATTTGTGTGTATGAGGAGAGAAGGATAGTTTCAGAGAAAATCTGGTTTTGGCTTCATGTAGCAAAATACTTTAGAATGCATCTGAGTACTCTGTCCAAGCTCTGCTGAAGTCAAAATTCTGACAACTTAAATAGAATTAGACTTGGCTTTACAAGGATATGAGCATTTTGGAAATGAGAATTCATTGTCTGAAAAAGCTAACCATAGCTAACTATTGCTAACTGTGGTTACTGGGTTAATTTATATTTTAATTTTTGAAGAGTTAACTAGCTGTACTTTTGCTGTATGTGCTGCTTGCATTCTGGGTTTGAATTTACAAAATATTTAATTCTTAGGCATTTTTCACTCCTAGTCACGTTATTTATGTGTTTGCTGAGGTTCAGGTTTTCTTATGTGGTTTTGCAGTTTGGTGCAAACTGTTCACACAAATTTTACTGTGAAAGAGAAGGGTATGTTTTAAAACACCATTTCTTACTAGCTAGTCAAGAACTTCTGGTATCATACTGGATATCACATTAAGTGTATGTACAATCCATAACAAATTCAGTACCAGACTCATAATTAAAACCACAAGATGCTATTGCAGGTTGGATTAACAGCTCTCTGTATAACATATACATATCTAAATATGTACATGACAAGTTGTATGGGTCTGTATTTTTATATGACAAGTTGCATGAATCTGATGTTTATCCTGTTAAATTTACTTTTTGCCATAATTCATGTGCACTAGTGTGAGAACATTTCAGTTCCAGAGTCCATGCTTGCCCAGTACCCCAGAAATTTTGTTATATATTTTTATTATAACAATATACAATATTTCTGGACTTCAGGAGACAGTAAAGTACAAGGCTTATAGACATATCCATCTATCTTGGTACCTACTAGAGTAATAATATTTTAAAGATAACGAACACCCACTTTTGTTATGATAGTCATGATGACATAAAGACCAATCATGCAGGCAAAATCTGCTTTTGTGCAGTAGATTTGCACAATGACAGCTGAGTCAGGAGGATTTATGTAGTGGGAAAGATCAACCATTGTCCACAGCCCCTGTACTTCATTGCTGAAAATGTGTCATTCCTTTGTGGATTCAGTTATCAGTCTTTCAGCACTAAATGTGAGAACTGCTTTTCCCAAATTAGCACTAAGGTTACATCTGACGGGGTGCAGAAACCACAACTGCTTCGTGCTCAAGATAGGGAGGAGAAGACAGTTGCACATAAAAAGCTGATGAACCTCAAGCTTTCTAAAATTTAAGTATTGTCCAAAATAAGCATAAAAGTAGAAAGACAGCATTTTTTGTATCTCAGTGTGAGGATGATTTCCAGCTCTAAGTAAAGTTCTTGCACTACATTTCTGTATGGAAAGTTTCAAACTAATTTAAAACAAGATAAGAATCAAAGTGAGACCTTTAGAAATGTCTCTCATAACTGTCCATAATTTAATAAAGAACGATCCTTAAGTACATTTTTGAAATCTCTCTCCCCATTGCAATCTAATGCTTTTACCTTCCTAATATGGAAAGGTTGGCCTAAAATCTGCACTACAGTGTTCCTATTAAGGGCTCTAAGGCTTTACTGTTAATTTCCCAGTGATAAGATCCTGGCAGCCTTTCCACACAGTACTCCTAATTTCAGCATCTAACAGGGAAATCCAAAAATGATAATTGTTTGGGTTTGAAACTCTGCAGGCATGCCAGTCCTTTGATTACTTTTTTTATTTGTAATTTGTCTTTTTAAAATATAATTGTAAAAGATGCTCTGCATTTGCATGTATTTAAAGTGAATATACTTTTAATGAAACAAGCTCTCAGTGAAGGATGAGGTGTACTCTGCTTTCTTAAAGATCTATATAAACTATTTTTGAACCTTAAGTTTGCAGACCCTTATGTTATTTTAGTAAAGACATAGAATGCTATGTAGTGGAGGGTTTACTTTCCCAGTTGCTTTCTACATTGTGTTTAGCCTCAGGTTAAAAACCAGTATTCTAATGGACATGTATTGAAAGCTGCAGAAGAACAGCAGTTCTGGTCAAACTAACAGAGACAAATTCTCGTTGTCATGGAGTTTAATAGTTAGGTGGTAAGGCATCCAGTTTTAACCTTGCTAATGTTTACTTCAGTCAGAGCAAGAGCTTAAAATGGCTCTTTCCATACTAAGGCTGAGGTCAGAGCTGACAGGGTGCAGAAAACAACAGCTCTTTGGTACCAAAAATGGAGAGGAGAAGACAGTTGCACGTGAGGAGCTTGAAAACTTCCCAGAAATACAGTCTTGCCCTGAACTGGCATAACAGTAGGACAGCAGAGCGATCAAGTTTTTGGGATTTAAGCGTGAACACAGAGATCCTGCACAGATCACACAGTCTGTTTCTGGAGATACTCAACCTTCTTAAAGAAGGTGTATGCTTTTGGGAAAAGAACTGTGTCCAGCCCAAGAGAAGGTCTGACCAGCAGCCCTTACAGACTTTTTAAGTCCTTTAGAGATATTAAATACTCACAGGCTTCTAAGCCTTTCATTTTGTTTAAATAATTAAACAGTCACCAAGCCAAATAAAACAAGGGAGACTGATTCTATAGCCATGTAGTCAGGGTATTCATCTAGAAGCTAGGGAACCATACATCAGTCACTGTAGCAGTGTATATTTAATTATTGATACAGAGTTGGCCAGATGTGACAAGGAGGCATTTGCAAAAACACAGTAAAATAAGCTGGTGTTCAGGAAAGTAATTTTGGATATGAAAAGCCACAGTTCTGTGCCCCAAACTGAATCATGTACTTTGTTATAAGCCATGTTCATGCACACACTGAACATTACTGGCTCCTCTGGTATGTGCATGGAGTTTCTCTGCACAAAAAAGCTTTGGCAGTCTTAGTTGGTCCCAGTGAGGGTCAAGAATAGTTTGGACCTCTCAGAAAAAAAAATCTGAAATTGGAAAAAACATTGGAAACATTGGAAATTGGAAAAAAACCTCCTGTCCAGCTTTACTATAAGGAGCAACTTCTTTGATGTTACAAATACATCTTAAAAAGTCTTACCTGTGAGGCAAAGACATGTTTCCCTTTAAATGGGCCATTGCCTCTCATAGTTCAGAGCCATCAGAACCTAGTGTTATTTCAAGGAAGTGTGGATCAGGTCCTGCCTCTGTGAAGTACTTCAGCAATTAAAATAAAAAAAAAAGAAATTTGTAGAGGCCCGAGAAGGTGGGAGCAGCTCACCCTGATACAAGAGAGTTCCCTGGTGTACAAGAGGCAGTGTTGGCTGGACACCCTCCCAGCATTCATGTGAGGGCTGAGGGCATGGCTGGAGGCAAGAAGGCAGAATTGGCAGTGTAGTGTACCAGAGCAAATGCTAAGCAAAGCAAAAGCAGTGCACTGAATGTGTTTTTTCAAGCTGAAGATTTAGAAGAGTGGAAGGAGAGAGCTTGGAGCTGCTCGCATCTTCTCTGACTTGAGCACAGGGGATCTGGCCTTAAATTGTTAACGTTTTGTAAAATGAATAACCGTAAACATTTATTTTAAAAGCAAAGCAGAGTGGGCTGAGGAAGATCTGATGGGAAATGAAATCACGAAAGCTGCATTAAGATAGTATTATGAATCTGGTTTGCACCCCAGAAATACTGGCTTCACCCACCCTCTATTCTAGACCTGGGGTTAAGAGAGACTGTCAGTCTGGATTTCCAGCTTTGGCTTGGAATTTCCTTGCTTTTTATGGGTTTAAACCACTCTATGATATTGTTTAGCATACTTTCCAAGGCTTAATTTTTAAAGTAGAGTAGTAACTGTGCTTATTCCCCTGGGGTTATTGTCCTTGGTAATCTTTACTTTACGCTTACATAAACAGCTGAGTATTATAGAAGCTGAGCGACTGTTCAATAAAAAAGAAAATGCCCTCTTAAATTTCACAGGCTCGGAGGCAGGAAACATGGACTTGATACTCTCCTGGCATTCAAACAGAACTTTAGCCATCACTTTGTGTTGTTTCCACTTACGGCACTTTGTAGAATGTCCCAGCACTGACATCACACACACCTAATTTTGAATATGTATGTATTGCACACTAGAGGCAAGAGAGAGACAAGATTTCTGGTAGTTTATAGTATTTTTTACCTCTCTAATAAAATGCATTAAATGTGTCGAGATGTTAGAAATTAATTATTCTTGCTGAGACTTGGATATATTCATTTGCTGGTCACTGAACCTACAATTTGTCTTTGGTCAACCACTCCAAACCCTTTTCCTACCTGTACATACACACTGATGCCCCCCTCTGCTGTGCCACTCCCTTGTCTCTAAATGCCTTCCTAGTTTCCCACTTTCCAGCTCACATCCTACACATTCCCAATCCAGATATACAGCGTGCAGTAAAATACATGCCACCAAAGGTAAACAGATGTGGAAAGGGTCTGACCTCACAGACAGAACCCAACCGT